CAGCAGGCCTGCCTTTGGGAGCGTGCACATCTACCCTTTGGGCTTCAGATAAAACACTCCAATACTCTCGGTCCATTCCCCCCCAATCCTTTAGTATTTAGCTAATCCTTTAACTGGGAGAAGTGAAGACCCCATTTTGAATTTTTTTCCTTTCACATCACTTACAATGAAGAAGCATTTTGAAATAGTTTGGGCTCTTTCAGGGTTTGAAGCCAAAAGCAGCCACAGCAGAACTTGCCTGAAATCTGGGATGTCTGTCCACTCCTAGAATACGAGGCACCACACATCTGCACCCTAGTTACAGGCTCCCCCTAGGACGAAACAGAGGGGAGAAGGGCATGTTCAAAATGCAGCTTCAACACAAGGCCAGGGCTGCAGGAGCCTACTCTCAGGGGGAAATGCCCTTCCAGGCATCACACCAGCTAGGACCCAAAGTTCCAGCATTACACCCACACTCCACGAGCCCCACCCACGGAAGTCACCACTCTTCGGAAGAGGCTACTCTGGCCTGTCCCGGGAGAATTGGAGAACCTGATGGAGTGCGGATGGGGTGCCAAGGGTGGGAGGGGGAAGGGAGGAAGAGTGGAATCAGGGTGGAGGCCAGAAGCAGGGTGTGGGGTGAGGGGAGGTGGAGAATCCACAGCAGACTTTGGGATGGGGAGGGACTGCCAAACTTCATGGCCGACAGCACAGGCTGGAGCAGTCTGGGAGGGCCACAGGGCCATATGCCCTCCTTCCTTAGAGAATGTCATCACCTCAGTTGTCCAAAGGTCCCCAGAACCCAACTCTTAGGTCACCCCTTTATCCAACAGTTCCTCCCCCACCAAAAAAGTGCCCCAGTCTGGCCATCTCCATCTGTCTCCCAGCCCTTCGGGGACTTTGAAAGTGACAGGCCAACTTTCCCCAGACCTCACTTACTGTGGTTAAGTTCGCTCTGGGCGTTTGGATCGCCCCCCCACCCCCGCTTGGGGTACTGTGACACACGCTGTCTACCTCGCCTGGTTGCTTCAAAAAGTGCGAGCAGGAGGGGGAGCGCGGTGGACAAAGCTACAGACAGGGAACAATGGCTTCTATTCTCGGGCTCTCCCTAACCCAAAGAGCAAAACCCAGTCGCCCCAACCAGCATACAGCTTCCAGCCACATGTACAGACGCCCCACCAGCTCACAAAGGCAGCGGAGGGACGTTCTTGCCGCCTGCAAACGCCCCAGTCCAGCACCTTCTCCGGGTTCGCCCTCCACCACTTTCTCCCAAAAAGAGAGTTATTGGAGCAATACAGAAAATTGAAAAAGTAGTTTCTTGTTATAAATATCTAGAGGTAATTGTGTTACTGGTGTGAGTTGTTAAGGGCTGTAAAAAGATACAACAGCACCGTGGGGCGCTCATTTGGGAAGAGAGAATTAGAATAAAGAGCTCATTCAAGAGGTTTGCAAAAAAAAAAAAAAGAAAAGAAAAGAAAAGAAAAAAAAGAAAAAGAAAAGTAAAATAGTCACAGCATCATATCTCCCTTTTAAAATTATTTCTTCTTTTTCCCATTTTGCCTATGTAATTATTAATTTTGCCTGCCTGTGAGCAAAGAATTTCAAGAAACACACTTTTCTCTTCACAGTCGTGGTCTAATTTTTAACTAGCTGGGAGGCAGCTTAAATCCATAAAAATAACCTAAGACAAGGACTTTTTCTTTGCATCTGAATGTGGTCTGGTTAATACCAGCCACAGCAGAGGGCTACTCAGTTCCCCCTAGCTGGGCTGTCCTGTCCTGTGCCTCCCTCCTGTCCCCATGTCTCTCCATCCATAGTCATTCCGACAGGCAATAACGCCAACCCCAATGCAGAAAGTCTCCCCAAAGTGGGACTCCGAGGCGGCAAGGTAGCAGCAGGTGGGACTGACGAAGGGGGTGGGGTTCCCCCAGGGGTGAGACTTCCTGAGCCCCTCTGTAACCCACACCGCACCCAGCACAGCTGAATATCCCTGTCCTGGCTGGTACTTTTCCGATGCCATTTTAAAAATCACTAGCTGATCCCAGAGAGGCCTAGCTGATTAATTTTCTAAGCAGCTGGGAAGGTGGTAGCCTTTCAAAGTCTGGGTTTGCTCTACCTCGGCCCCCTCCGCTGAGGAGCTATCTAGTTACTAAAATAATCATGAGCACTTGGTGCACAAGCTAGAGGGAGGCGCACCTACACCCGGAAGGAGTCCTGTGAGAAAGCCGGCCAGACCCCTACTGCAGCCCACGTCCCCAGCTCAGCCCGGGTTCCACAAGCACCATGTTGGCAGGGCCTCAGACCCACAGACTCAGCGAAAGTCTCCAGATAGCTGCAGGTCGCCAGGCCCCTGGGCTACCACCCCCCTCCCTGTCCCAGGCACAAGTCTGTTTCCAAATGTTGTTTTATTTACTCAGCTCTCAAAATCTGTCCCCAAACCCCTTAGCTGGGGTGAAGAGGAGAGCTCACTTCCCGTCCTCCCGGCCCCCAGCCAAAGAATAATTAGCAATTAAGATGACAAAGTTTTACTCTCTAAGGCCAAATAAGATAGCAACTAATCAAATTGTCTTTAGACGTTTGCAAAGGTCACTGGTTATACAAAAATGTGATGACAATGGCAACAACTATTCTTTCTCCCCAGTAAACTCTCCAGGATTTCAAGGACTTTGCTTTTCATTTCATTTTTTTCTCTCATCCCCTCCTCCAACCTTCCCAAATTTGAGTTAAACAACCAGAATTGCTTGGGAAGCTTGGGAGAGTATGGGGGGGGGAGGGAGAAAGAGAAAGGAGAGAAAGAAAAACAGAAAGAAAAGAAAAGAAAAGAAAGAAAGAAAAGCAAGCAAGCCAAGCTCACTTTGTTTTTAAACTTTCTAAAAATCATTCAAGACTGAAGGACCCGGTTTTAGCACTCGAAAAAGAAAGCATTTCCACTTGAAATTCAACTCCATTTCCCCCAATTACACTTGCTAAAATCCAGGGCTACGGAAGGCTGATGGCGCAGGGGGACTGGGAAAACCTGACAACTTTCGGAACTTTGGAAAGACACTTCCCTTCCTGGGGTCTTGGAATCCATAAGCTCTCAAATTACTGGGACTAATTAGCTGGGAGAGGGCGTGAGCAGACCCGGGGTAAAGCCGATGCTCTGTATTGATTTTTTTTTTTTTAAACCTCCAGAAGAAAAAATAAATCACGGGATTCGGGACAAAAACAGCAACAACAAAACCACCTTTCCACCTCGGAACTTGTTGAAGCAACACAGCGCGGCTTGGGCAGAGGCAAACGAGGAAAAATACCCACCGAGCGCGAGGGCCCGAGGACTGGGAAGACCCGGGTTTCGCAGGGCGAGGGTGCGGGCTGGGGGAAGCCTGGGAGCGGAGTCTTCGAGCTGGAGCTCCGAGCTGGGCGCTCCAGGCAAGTTGGGGGCGAGGGCCTGGGGCTCGGTGGGAGCTGACAGCCGCGCGGTGGGCTCTGAGCTGCGGCGGAGCGCGCGTCCCGCCGCCTCGGCCTGCTGGCGTCCTTCCCGGCTCCGGCGCGCTCGCTCTTTCTCTCGGCTCCGGCGTGGGCTGCCTTGCCGACCGAGTCCGCTCCGGCGGGCAGCGGGCGCCGTGCCCCTCGGCGCTCCGGTGCCCGCGGGCTCTTCTGTGCCAGATTCCAGCGCGGCACAAAGCCCGAGGGCGGGCGGCACGGCGGGCCGGCTCCCTCGGCGCGCCCTCGCTCTGCGCGC